GGCTAACAACAAGGCCAGTGGAGGTGATGGCATTCCAGTTGAACTATTTAAAATCTTAAAAGATGATGCTGTTAAGGTGCTACACTCAATATATCAGCAAGTTTGGAAAACTCAGAAGTGGAAGACAGGAGGGCCTGAGGTCACAAAGAGTCGGACACGACTTAATGACTAAGCAACAATACCCATCTAGTACTAGGATGAAACCTGTCCGCTTCATCAAAATTGGCTGTACTATCAGGTCTTCCAAGATGACAGTTTTCAATGCTAAAAGAGAGGATATTCACTGACTTGAAGAATAGGGATGAAAGAACTCACCTTACTCATAATGCAGGTTGACAGGAGAGAGGTTACAACCCGAACTAAAGATGTTGGTTATCCTTGGTTTAGACAAATTTCTAGCCAGCAGAATGCACTAAACCATGTGGTACAATATGAAAAGATTAAGACTTCAGAACTTAAGTCCTTTTAAAAAAAAACTTGGAAGAGTAAAAATTTGGATGACATTCAAGCGTTTTCCAGTAGCTTCTGTGAAAAAAAATGTAATGTTTTTTCCGGAACACAAGAACGTAAAAAGTGGTAGCAGGTCATTGCTACATTTTTGTGGGTTTTCAAAAGTACTGTTGACTTTAACAGCCCAAGAAAAGCATCTTAAACCCTCTCCTGTAAAATACAACCAAGAACCCTGTAATCTCATTCTTCAGGTTTTATAGTGGCCCATTTCATTTTTAACCTCAAGGATGTGAGGGGGGAAATGGGATTTTAGTGATCTGTTTTCCCCTGTGCACCCTTCACTGAGATGGAAGAAACAGCACAGAGGGGAAGGCATTTTTGTGGGACACAAGGGGATCCACACCCTTTTGTGAGAGAGTGACAGAGCTTGGTTCATTCAGAGGGAGTGTTTTGTGTGGGAAAGCACTGGAATTCTCAGAAGTACTTATTGCTTGGGTTTGGCTCTTTCTCCTTCCGTTTATTTTGTAGCCTGCAAAACTGCCATAGGCTGTGATCAAGTTGAGAATTTTAGGGATGGGTTTGGATACACAGTCATTAAGATGATTCTCAATAAGCCCTAGAAACTGAGATGTTGAGATTCCTAGTCTTGATGCTAGAGAATAATTTCTTCTCATTGAAAAAGCTTTGCGTCTTCAAGTTCAGCAACAAAAGTTGTCCCCATAGAACTGAACTACACAGGACATTGAAAACATGATTTCACTTAATATTTCTGAGTTGGTTCTGTTGTGGTGGTTGAAGGACTTCCTTCTCCTAGGTGGAGTAGACAAAGTGAGGTCTCTAGGTCACATTCAGCCTCAGGTGTGTTATTTGCAGCCCACTATGCCCCTGACGTGGTGCCGTGGCGGGTTAAACTGCAGAAGCCTCTGTGCTGCAAGGTCAGGAGACCAGCAGTCGTAAGACTGAATCCACGTGACAGAGTGAGCTCCCGTTACTTGTCCCAGCTCCTGCCTACCTAGCAGTTCAAAAGCATGTAAAAATGTGAGCTGATCATCAGCTTCTTATAGCAAAACTCAAGCTTAAACTGAAGAAAGGATGAAAAACCACTGGGCTAGTCAGGTATAATCTAAAACAAATCCTTTATGAATACACAGTGGAAGTGAGGAACAGATTTAAGGAACTCGATTTAGCCTGAAGAACTATGGATGGAGGCCCATAACATTGTACAGGAGGCAGCAACAAAAACCATCCCAAAGAAAAGGAAATGCAAGAAATAAAAGTGGCTGTCCAACGAGTCCTTACAAATAGCAGAGAAGAGAAGGGAAACAAAATGCAAGGGGGATAGGGAAAGTTACAGAAAATTGAATGTTTATTTCCAAAGAATATCAAGAAAGTGAGGAGGAATTAAAGAACCTCTTAATGAGGGTGATGGAGGAGAACTCAATAAATGGTCCGAAGCTCAACATAAAAAAAAAAACTAAGATCATGGCCACTGGCCCGATCACCTTCTGGAAAATAGAAGGGGAAGATATGGAGGCAGTGACAGATTTTACTTTCTTGGGCTGATCACTGCAGAGGGGGACAGCAGCCACGAAATTAAAAGATGCCTGCTTCTTGGGAGGAAAGCAATGACAAACCTAGACGGCATCTTAAAAAGCAGAGACATCACCTTGCCGACAAAGGTCCGCATACTCAAAGCTATGGCTTTTCCAGTAGTGATGTATGGAAGTGAGAGCTGGACCACAGAGAAGGCTGACCGCTGAAGAATTGATGCTTTTGAATTGTGGTGCTGGAGGAGACTCTTGAGAGTCCCCTAGACTGCAAGTAGAACAAACCTATCCATTGTGAAAGAAATCAACCCTAAGTGCTCACTGGAAGGACAGATCCTGAAGCTGAGGCTCCAATACTTTGCCCATCTCATGAGAAGAGAAGACTCCCTGGAAAGACCCTGATGTTGAGACCTCTGGGTAGTTTGGGCGAATAAATAAATAAATAAATAAATAAATAAATAAATAAAGTGTGTAAGCAAGCAAGCAAGCAAGTAAGTAAGTAAGTAAGTAAGTTCACAGGGTGCAAGACAAAGTCCAGAATATTTTGAAACTACATGGTGCAGTGTTCATCTTCCCAATTCATCAGTTGTCATCTTTTCCTTTCTTCTGGAACCACAGTAATTCCACTGACTAGGGTGTGGGTCCCTTCCTTTCTTTTTCTTTCCTGACATGGCAGGTAGCTTCACTCAAAGAGGTTTTTGTACCTTGTTGAGGGTCCGAAAAGAATATTCTTCTATTCCAGACAATTAAAACCTGCCTCTTCTTCCAGTGTGGAATGTGTCTTGCTTTGTGCAACATGTAGTTCCTTCTTTTGCAATAACATTTAGCAATGTGTCTGCTCTTAGGTTTCTGTGTGTTGTGCAAGTGACCTTCTTAATGTAGGCTGATGGTTAAAAGAAAAGTGCCTTTGGATCAGGCTCTTTTGGCCCAGTCCAGAATTCAGGGAAAGAAAGATGACCAGGTTCATCTGAATCCCTAGAACTGGAATTTCTAAATGGACAGTAAAGTATCTTGAACCAATTTTGACCTATATGTGGTCACTTTAAGTCAATATGTATTCCATCTGGCCAAGAGATGAGTTTCTCATAATTTTTAAAAAGAAAATACTAATATTATACATTTAAGATGTGTGCGATAACTTCTCAAGGAACAATAACAGAGTATATTATAAAGAATTTACATATGAATTACAAGATGCAATTAATTACTGAGTCTAAGAAACAGAAAAAAATGAAAAGGAGTATAAAGCTATATGCCATTTATACCAGTTGTCACAAGATGTCGCTGCCCACTGAAAAGCAAAAAGGCTTTCTTGATACAATGCTCCCCTCCCAGCTCTACAGCAAGAAAAGAGACTGAAAGACAACAGGATGGAATCAGCAGCATAAGAACTGGATGTTTCCCAGCTTTTAATGGCAACTCCCAACAGTGGATTTAATTTTAAAAACCAGGAATACAACCTACCATAGCTATGATTGTTTTCTTCCAGTGCTGCCTAGCAAGACGTCGCCTGCTCCAGCTGTTTTTTCTCAGCATGGCTTGGGGGCTGGGGAAGGGCCAGCTCCATTATTCGGTGCCGGAGGAATCCCAGCATGGCACCTTTGTGGGCCGTGTCGCTCAGGATCTGGGACTGGAAGTGGAGGAGCTGATGCCTCGGATGTTCCGGATGGAATCCCAAAGCCACGGAGATTATTTAGAGGTAAATGTCCAGAATGGAATTTTGTTTGTCAATTCCCGAATAGACAGGGAGGAGCTGTGTGCCAAGAGCCCTTTGTGTTCCATTCATCTGGAGGTGATTGTAGACAAGCCTCTGAAGGTCTTCCATGTAGAGGTGGAAATTAAGGATATAAATGACAATGCTCCTATGTTCCCTCAGAAGGAACAACATGTCTTTGTTTCAGAAATGAGGATGCCTGGATCATTTTTCCCACTGCAGGGAGCTTCCGATGCAGATATCGGTCCAAACTCTCTCCTCACTTATGCACTCAGCCCTAGTGAATACTTTGCTTTAGATGTTCAGAGGAAACATGATGAAAGCCAGTCACTAGGACTCCTTTTAAAGGCCCCTTTAGACAGAGAGGTCAAGGCTATGTATCGTTTGCTGCTGACAGCCACAGATGCAGGGAAACCAGCGCTCAGTGGCACAGCGCAGCTGGTGATTTCTGTGCTCGATGAAAATGACAATGCACCTGCCTTTAATCAATCCATTTACAAAGTCCAGATGGCAGAGGATGTGCCAAGTGGGACATTAGTAATGAAATTAAATGCTACAGATTTGGATGAGGGAACCAATCAAGATGTTATATATTCATTCCAAAACCATGTGCCTGTTAAATTAAAAAATACATTTACTCTAGATTCCATAACTGGGGAAATAAGGACCAAAGAGCAATTAGATTTTGAGGAAAACCATCAATATGAAATCCAGGTACAAGCTAGTGATAAAGGAAGCAACCCGATGACGGGATATTGTACCCTTGTGATTGAAGTGCTGGATGTCAATGACAATGCCCCAGAGATGTCACTGAAGTCTCTGTCGGTACCAGTGCCAGAGGATTCCTTGCCTGGGATGGTGGTAGCCCTGATCAGTGTGTCAGATAGGGACTCTGGGGCCAATGGCCAGATAAACTGCTCCCTGTACCCTGCTGGGCTTCCCTTCAAGTTAACATCCACTTTCAAGAATTACCACTCTTTGGTTGTGGCTGAGCCCTTGGATCGGGAGAAGGTGGCAGAATACAAACTGATTGTAAAAGCCCAAGACCATGGGGCACCATCCATGTCAGTCACCAACAGCCTGGTGGTACCCATTGGGGATGTGAACGACAACACACCAACTTTCCCCCAATCTTCTTATACTGTCTTTGTGAAGGAGAACAACCCACCTGGTGCTCACATCTTCACGGTGTCTGCCTCGGACCCTGATGTGGCTGAGAATGCCTTGGTCACCTACTGGATAGATCAGAAGCTCTGGCCACTCTCCAGCTACATCTCTGTGCACTCAGAGAGTGGGAAACTCTATGCCTTGCAGCCTTTTGACTATGAGGAGCTGAAGCTACTGGAGTTCCAAGTGATTGCCAAGGATGCTGGATTGCCTTCCTTGTATGGCAATGTGACCATTCAAGTCTTTGTGATGGATGAAAATGACAATGCACCGGCTGTATCTGGGCAGTCGGAGGAAGCTCCCATTCTTCTAGTGTTTCCTGTGACAGCTGGGCATGTGGTGGGCAAAATCCGTGCCCTGGATGCTGATTCAGGCTATAATGCATGGCTGCGCTATGAAATACATGAGGGAGCCAATGGTCCTTGGCGAGTAGGACAATACAGTGGTGAGGTCAGCACCACACGTGTCCTTGATGAGGGAGAAGTTAGTGGCAACAGTCACTGTGTGCTAGTGGTGGTGAAGGATCATGGAAAGCCTGTGTTGTCAGCTACAGCTACTCTGAGCATGTCACTCATGGCAAGTACCCAGCGTGTCCACACCGATGTTCACCTTCCTCAAATGGGGGGCAGCTCAAAGCCCTTGGGGGGCAATGTCAACATCTACCTCATCATAGCCATCTGCTCTATATCCAGCTTTTTCCTCCTTGCAATCATAGCATACATTGTCCTACGATGCCAATCCCAGGTAAAGGAGGCCATGATGTATGGCCCTGGCACTGCCACACTGGTATGTGCCAGTGAAGTTGGGAGCTGGTCCTATTCAAACCGTCACAGTCACATCCTGGCAGGTGTGAGTAGTGAGGCTGGCCTCAAGAGTGACCTCATGGTTTTCAGCCCCAACATTCCTCCTCCCTCTGGCACTGAAAAGCCAGATCAAATGCTTTGTGATTCATCAGCACAGGTGAGTCATACATTTTAGAGAATTTTGAGGTGGTTTATTATATATAACCGTAGTCATTGTACATTCAGTTCCTATCTTTACAGAAAACGGCTGGTATAATGATAGGAACACAAGGATTTCCTAACGTCAATATGTTTTTTTCTTTGATTGAGTGACTGATTTAAGATCAGTTCAGTTTAAAAACTCCTGGGGCAGCCGCTCACAGGTGTATAAAAGAAGAAGTATATAAAAACGATTATATCAAAACAATTACAGCTGACAATAACTGACAGAAGACAGCAGACTGAAAAAGATTTAGGCAGTAAATAACAACCAGATAGATAGCGTGTTGGAAAATATTGTCAGGAAACAATACTATATGATATTTCTCTGGTACAAGAAGGATATCCGGTTCAGCAGTGGGTGGGTTCTCTGGAAAGGGCATTCCCTAGGCAAGAGCCAAAACTATAAAGCTCCAGGATCAATTCCCCTCACTTCTGAAGGCAGACGAAGTTGAAAGAAGATAGCTGAGAGGCTCAAAAGAAGGTGGTAGGTAACACAGACAGCTTAAGTATATATTTAAGATTTCTTGCTGGACTAAAAGATGGGGTTGTCTTTAATAATGATTGTGTGCTGTCATAAATTCTGACCTGTGGTGACCCTTTCCAGGGTTTTCTAGTAGAGAGTACTGAGAAGTGGTTTACCCTTCCCATCTTCTGGGGGCATCCTGGGGCTGTGCAGCTTGGCCAAGGCCACACAGGCTGGCTCTTCTGGGAGGCAGAGTGGGAAACTGAGCTCCCATCCTCTGAATCTGCAGCCAGAAACCCAACTCACTGAGCTATCCTCTCTGAGTCTGCAGCCAGAAACCCGACTCACTGAGCTATCCGGTCAGCGAGCCACATTTAGATTAGAGATAAATAAATGAGACAAACATCTTTCTCTGCAATTAGCACTTCAATGCCTCACTTATTTTGTGGCATGTGTTTATGTTGGTCATTTAGTTTTAGAAGTATTCCCCAGTTGCAAAAATTGAGCAGCCAAGGACTTGAGCAGTGATTCATCTTGTCAACTTTACTAATATATGCTGCTTTTCTAGAAACATAAGATTATAAACTGCTGCCCCTCAATGTGGTATAGTCATATTTGGGGTCTAGTGACTGGGGGCCTCAAATAGGGATGAACTTTCCCAAGTACTTCAGATACACCTATTAAATTGGTTTATACGTTTTTACTGTATATTAATTGTTGTAAGCCACCCAGAGACCTTTGGGTACTATGGGTGGCATATAAGTTAAATAAAATAAAATAAATAAATAATCAGATGAGCATTTCATGCACATCCCTATGCAAATCCACATAAGCTGCACTTGTGTATTTCCTTTGTTGGTCTGGGCTACTGGTATTTAATCTAGACATGGTACAACAGAGCTCTTTAAATGTAAGCATGTCTGTTTATCTGTTTGGTCAACCTTTTTCCTCCAGAAGCTATTCACATACTTAATCATCATTGTTATTCTTCACTATAAGGACTGCTGCTATACATGATCAGCAGACATGTGCTGAAGCTAGGCCGTAGCCCTTCCGAGTCCACATGTTTGATTGCATTCTGTTCTAAAATTAAACAACAGGCACCACCACCTCAACAACTGGCAAATATAAGCCATACAAGACTAATATGTAATGTAGAATGTCCTTGCTCAGGCTTTTCTTTGACATATCTCTCTTCATTACATATAAGAGAGCATTCAGGCTTTGATTCCCACATCTCAGGTGGTACAGCCCATCAACAGATCACTTGACAGCCTACTTTTATAATGTCTTTCGCATTTGTCATGCAATCTTCTGTTCTATTCAGTATTTGTGATTTCAGTTATATTTGTGCAGTTGTTGCTACTGCACAGTCAAAGATGGGGTTTTGTTGGGGGAAGGGGTGTAGAATTGGGGCAATCAGGGAGGACTCCCTCAGTGCACAGATGGTGAAGAAGAGAGCAGACGGATGCAGCTAGACAAAGAGGTAAGCATACAAATATGTAATGGTAGCAAGCCAGATCAATAGCTATCGTGGCGCAGTGGTTAAATAGCCTCGTGGCGCAGTGGTTAAACCGCTGTACTGCAATAACAAGCTAGAACAATAGCTATCATTACAGCCTTCTTCTAAA